GCCAAGAGTGGTGTTGCCGCCATGCATGGTCGCGACCGGCGCTTGCTCGGCAGCAGACCTCTCCGAGCGCGCCCTGCATGTAGGCGACGGCGTCGGCCGCCGCTCCGTTGTAGGCGACGCGGCCGCCGGAGAGGAGGAGGAGCTGGTCAAAGAGGGAGAAGATGTTGGAGCGCGGCTGGTGGACCGACAGCACCAGGATCATCCGGTTGGTGCGGGCCACGGACTGGAGGCAGCTCGTGAGCGAGAGCGCGGTGGCGGCGTCGAGGCCGGACGTCGGCTCGTCGAGGAAGAGCAGCGGCGGCCGAGCCACGAGCTCTGCGCCGACGGCGGTGCGCTTCCTCTCCCCGCCGCTGACGCCGCGCTTCTTCTCGCTGCCGATGGCGGTGTGCGCGCAGTGCTCCAGGCCGAGCTGCTGCAGGGTCGTCTGCACCCGCCGGTCGCGCTCCTCGTCGCCGAGCGACTGCGGCAGCCGCAACCGAGCGGCAAACTCGATCGTCTCGCGTACCGTCAGCGCGGCGAGGAGGAGGTCGTCCTGGAAGACGAAGCCGCAACGGCGGAAGAAGGCCTTGGTCGGCGCGGCGCCGCCGAGCGTCACCTCCCCCGCCTCCAGTTTGGCGCCCTTGGGAGCGCGGCCCGCGAGGAGAGAGAGCAACGACGTCTTGCCAGAGCCGCTCGGGCCCATCAATGCGATCATCTCGGAGGGCGCAACGCAGCCGCTCACGTCGTCGAGTATAACCTTGCGCTCCCCCGCGTTGGACGTACGAGCGCTCGCGCGGCGACGCCAGTTTCGCCTGTGCGTCTGCGCCACGCGCACGCTCAGCCGGAGGCCGCTCCACGACAGCGCCTCCTCGCCGAGGTCGATGGTGACGCGCTCGGTCATGTAAGCTCAACACAGGCTGAGAGGCGAGTCGGGTACGGTGGCGCGGGACGCGCGGCGGCGGCGGCGAGCAGCCGTGCGCTCCGTGCGCGGTGAGGCGGCCGGCGCGGCGCCAAGGGTGAGTCGTTCGTGGTAGCTTCGCAGGCATGTTTTCTTTTGCTTGAGCACTTGAGCACTGGATAGGGCCGATTCCGCGTGGTACGGGACCCCTCGATCGTCTCGCCCTCCCTCACTGGTATGTTCATTGGGGGGGGTCATAACAAACACGGTACAGGATCGAGGTGCACGCTGCCGAAGCAGTGTCGTCCCCCCTCTCCCCGACGGCGATGGCGGTGTGACCGATCGAGCTACAAGAGGAGCTTGGTCAGCAGGATCCGGGATAGTCTGATGCACTGCCTCACTGGGTCTGAGATCATCGAGACGCACCCGTCACCGTCTCGGATTCATGTGGGATCGAACCACTCCGGGATGGGCAAGCCCATCGTTCTCATTGAGAGCTGTGCCTTCCTATCACCTGTGAGAGACAGTGGAGAGGGTGTGCGCCACATCAGCCGGAGCGGGGGGGGGGGGGGGGCTCATCCATTCAGGCTCAGCATACAAAGCAACTTCAAGACATACTACCCCATCTTGTTAATTGTCAAAATTCCTGTTGTGCAAAAGGGGAGGGGGCTCTTACCGAATGCGTGGCGGGAAAAGGCAAGGAATGGGCCCCGGGAAAGGGGGGGGGGGGGGGGGCCCCCCCCCGCAAAAAGCCTCTTTTTATAATTTTAAGGGAAAAATTTTGCCCCGCCCTTCAAAAAACCCCCCCCCATTTTTGTTTTTTCCCCCCAAACCCCTCGGGGAATTTTTTAAAAAGGGAAATTTTTTTTTGCCCCCCCGGGGAAATTCAATTGGTTTTTTCCCCCCGGGAAAACTCAAAAAAACGGGGGGAAGGAAACCCTTTTGCAACGCCCCCCCGAAAAAAATTAATGGAGGGGCCGGGGCCCCCCCCCA